TTTTCCAACCTTAATGATTCTATGACTTAATGATTCTTCCTAGATTATTTCGTTTTCACAGAATCACAGAATGTTAGAGATTGGAAGGGACCTCGAAAGATCATCTAGTCCAATCCCCCTGCCGGAGCAGGAACACCTAGATCAGATCACACAGGAACGCATCCAGGCGGGCTTTGAATGTCTCCAGAGAAGGAGACTCCACAACTTCTCTGGGCAGCCTGTTCCAGTGCTCTGTCACCCTCACCGTGAAGAAGTTTTTCCTCATATTCAAGTGGAACCTCCTATGTTCCAGCTTGAACCCATTGCCCCTTGTCCTATCACTAGATGTCACAGAGAAGAGCCTGGCTCCATCCTCCTGACACTCACCCTTCACCTTTCATAGCCATTTGAAGCAAGGACTTCTTAGCCTGAAATAGTTAAATACAGTTGCTTGTTCAGATGAGAGCAATTACATTTTAACATTGTAATAATACACATAGCTTTTACCTCTTTTTTCCTTTATCAAAAAAGAGCAGAAACACCATGAATTCATACTGTATTTAGTATTTAAAGTCAGTGGGCTCACTTCAAAAACATACCTGTACCGTTCCAAATACTTCATCCTTAATATGGCCACCTCCAAATTCTTTCTTAAGTGTTGCTCGGGTTGCTGCATACAACATTTTTTGACGAACCTAGCAAACCACAAAACAGTGTTGTTTTGGTTTGGTTCTCTTTTTTTTTTTTTTTTTTTTTCTTTTGTATATGGAGAGAATCTATCACATTAGTGTACCAAGTCCATTAGCAAAATATTTGTTCAAGAAAGAGGTTTAAGTGTTGAAATTGCATTTTGGAGTTGCAGTTCTTAATAAAGAATAAACTCCATTGAAGGAGCTCTGGATCATGATGCTAACACACGGTATTAAATTCTCAAGGGCATGATACTATGCATTATTATCAAAGTAATTCTAAAACTAAATTTCAGCTTTAGTAAGAGTATGAGCTTTTTGTCTTTAAATAGGAAAAAAGGTCAACATAATCTTATACTAATTTTAAATGGGAAAACCAACAGTTGTTTAGATGTTTTGCCACTGGTCTGTGTACTAATGGATATAACAGAAGAGAAAGAGCAGACTGCAAATAACTCATTATTATTTTTTATTTGATAGTGACTCCAGATAGTTTTGGTTCAACTAGTTTTCTGGGGGCAGAAGATCTGATTATGTTTGCTCCCTATCAACTTGTGTCTAACATAGTTACTTATTCCTCTCTCAACAGTCCCACCTTCCCACCTCATTTCACCATCATGCCCTCCTCACCTTTTCCACCTAATCTCTTCTGTGCATTCCAACTCCTAGTCTCTTACTGTTTCCTAACTGCTAGTGAAAGTAGTGAGAATATGGGAATAGCTTTTCTGTCTTCCCTTATTTCACATTCCCAAAACCTGTACACAGTATCCTAGTTTTTCCTAGAAATCCTTAACTCTAACCTCAGTTCCCTCTCATGTTCTCTAACTACCAACCAAGAAACAGTATATTCTGTGGCATGTCACAGATCCACAAGTGCCAGCTGAGCAGCCAGCAGGCCAAACAGAATAAACAACTTGAGCTCACACTATAATCCTTCTCTCTGTGGTAACACCCATTGAGATTTCTGTCCTATATTCTGTGAATTTTTGTGAAACACTGACAGAAAGATAAGACAAATAAACAGGGCAAAAACATTGTCTTGTCTCCTCCAGTCAGGCTAGAAATAAATTGGATCAGCTGCACTCCATCTAGACCCACCGACACTTCTCCTCAATCAGCTTCACAAAATATATTTTCCCAGTTTTCTTGGGGGAAAGTGAGGGGAAGGCTGAGGAATGCTTCACTCCGCAAATCCTTTTCCTTCAAATCTAGGATTGAGATCGAATGGCACTGTTGAAAATTCACTGATAGCATGAAGTCTTTGTTGATTACTTTTACTTACAGGAGAGTGATCAGGTGACCATGCAATGAAGATCCATTCATATCCTTGAGCATTCTGAGAATCTAATCTGTATAATATATAACAGGGTTGCTTGTCTTCAAGAAGGGGAAGGACAAAGGCATCATAATCCTTTTCCCATGATCCAACTGGCCGCCTAGAGGATCCCACAATAAGCTGCTCTATAACCAACAACCAAAGCTACACGTTAGCAACACAGTTAATACTGTTTTTCAAAAACAGCAATTACAATAAAAAGTTGATTAGACACTTCATCTTTCATAGTTATGTCCACAAGAATGGAAGTCAAGAACAGCCAGTGTGAAAGCAGGTGAATTCCTACAAAAGCTGTGTATATTCAAACCCTAACTTACTTTAACCCAAATACAAATAGTTGAGAAGTAATGTGCTGGCTGTCATTAAGTTCTCTGATCTGAAGGGATAAGACCGATGTTAGTGTTTTTAGCATAATGTACACAGAAGGGAAATAAAAACTGTCTTCTGCCAGTTAGTTTATTTTTAAATTGTAATACTTAAGCAGAAACAAGATGAGAGCAAGCTTTTAAATTTTAGAATTAGAATTATTGATGCTCTTGCTATAACATATTAGCGTTTGTACTCATTGTAAGGAATCAATAACTCAGTTATATAGTGAAAAGAGTTTGGAATGAATATGCCTGCGCTAATCACTTTAACTTGACTATGTAAGTAGATAACCTCTTTCTAATACAGCTTCATAACTATGGTCTCTTTAAATGACTGAAGTTGTTTATTATGTATAATTGGCTTAAGTCTGTATGGAATACTTCAGATGAGATTTAATTATGTGAACAGCTGTAGCAACAAGAATTTATTCTTATATACAAATTACATCTCAGCTTCCAAAGGAAAGTATTAGTTTAGTGTGTCTCAAAATATTTATCGGTTTCACAAAAAATACTAGCCCCCACAACCAAAACAGAAATCCCCTGTTTAAACGGGATCCTACAACAGTTTGAGGACCATCACAGTAACTAGTAAACAAAATACCTTTTGAGAGTCTAGGATCTAACTTCTAAAACCTCAGAGAAAAGCACAACAGCATACAAATATCTATACAGCAAAACTTTCAGAGCAAGGCACAGAAGATGAACAGCTCAGGGAGAGGGTGCTTGGCCCTTCTCTGAATTAGACGCAAAGTAGCTGAAGTTGTACACCTAGACCAGAGTATTCAGAATGTACTTGCCAATTCTGAACTCTAGGTGGCTTTATACTCACTTGGATTTAAGACAGAAAAACATAATCAGAGGAACTCTATTGCCCAGCGGCAAACCTCTTCTCTTATTAGCTCAGATTAGCAGAAATCAGTTTGACTGCTATCTGTTGACTAAGGGCAGTTGCTGAAAGCTCCCGCAGACAGATGAGGCAACTGTCCCTCTTCCAGTATTCTGGGAGTTTTAGAGGTTTCTTTTTGAACTGTGGAAAACAGTATCAAAGACTGGACCCTGCTTCTACATAGAGGCAAAATTTATTAAGCATATGGTCATAAATATATATACACACAACCACATGCACACAAAAAGGAAAAAAAATAGGGAATGTCTTCCATTTGTATCTTATTTCCAGGCTTAATTTCATATTGAAAAAACAGCATATACACGAAAGCATATTGTTTTACCTTGCCTAATGGGAAAAAAATTTAATTCAATGGTATGCCAGCATTTGCTACCTTGTGCTACTGAGAATTCACCACAGTGACCTGCCTATAATATTACTATTGCCACTTCCTTAGGGAAAGCAATATTAAAATGTCAGAAGACTTCCTAAGAAAAGCAAACACAAAGAAGGTAACAGTAGGTTATTTACTGTACTGTAAATGAATGAACTCTAGAAAGAACAAAAAACCAAAGCTGGGCATTTGACGTACTTGAAAATATGGACTAAACCATGAAGAGTCTTACACAATCAACCAGCATTGCTACTAAAAAAAAAAAAAATTACACATTCTATCTTGCAGTGTTTGCAGCCTTGATCACTTGCCAAGAAGTTCAAAGATCAAACTCAAGTTCTGCAAGAAATTATGTAATTTTATATTTATGCATATACGTGCGATTTAAGGAACAGTTTTAGTTTTGAAAATTTGTACAGTTACAGATTTTAAAAGACATTTTCTATGTAGCCATATTAATACTTAAACATCTGCTTTAACAGGACTTTCTATATGCAACTAATCCCAGTATAAAAGACAGATAACATTTATACCTCATCTAAGGTGAGCAGCTGCTGTGTAAGAATCTCTCTGTCTAATAAAAGTAACCAAAGTGCCAAAACATTACACAGGTGTGGATTTTTTTTCCTCTACTCTTTCTTCAGTAAAAAGATAAGACCAAGCTCATTTATATTATACATATGAAACACACAGCAGTTCTTGTTAAAATATGAAATGACATTTGAAAGAAAAATTCAAATGCAAAAATACGTAGCATCATACTGAAAAGCTTAGCATCACCAAAACTTAAACCTTACCTTCTGTATATGAAAAACCTTAGTAACATTAAGTTTTGCAGAGTTCTGGTTTTTAAAAAACGGTACACGTAGGTCAGTGAAACAACTAGGGAATATTCTAAAAGAATCAGAGAAAAAGATTAAAATTTGACTAACCATTGTCAATGACTATTTTTAAAAGCCTGTATTTTCCATTTCTGGCTCCAACAAAGGTGTCTTTAACACTTCCACTAGCTGAAAAAGAGAAAATAAAAGTAACCAAATTAACACATTTCACTTCCCTAGAACAAAGAGTATTCATGAAGGTAAGAACAATACTGGAAAAGCTTACAACTGGCCCTTCATTACAAAGCTTCATAACAAAGGAACACAGGAGTGATGTTCCCTCTATGCTGCATACTGTTTCAGCCACCAGCATGCCACAAAAAGATGACAGGCAACATTACAAAACATCCCTGCTTTCTAGCATACCGTATAATTTTCAACATTGCGAAAATTCAAAATGACATCATATCATCACTCTCAAGTTTCAGAGTTAAAACAGCAACAGAATAAAAATGTGATGCATCTCAAATTACAATAGCTTTATGAAGTCTGCAGGCTTAGTACAAACTCTCAGACAGAAACTTTACGCCTGCCAGGAAAATGTTAGAACTTGTCTGGCAAAAGTGCTGGTCTTTCCTGAGGACACCTCTCTGAAGACTACCAGTGAAGGTTGCCACTCATTGCTCATCTTTCATACCACCTTATCTTCTTGTATGTATCTTGATGACACTGTTCAAATGCCAAACTACTGCAATGGGATAGCTTTACAATGAATTTACAAAGACGTAAATAAAAATTTTTAAATGTCCATAATTCACATTGACCCCATACCGCAAACCTGATAAACTCAGTTCCCTAAGCACACTGAAGAACTGCGCTTGAGTCAGGTGAAGATCATTCCTACCTCAACTGCTCTGCTAAATAATCCGAGTGCAAATCAGTTTAATTATACAGTAGACAGGGGGTTGTACAGCATTTATTAAAGAACTCCTATTGCAAGCTGGTCCTTTAAGTAATCCCACAGCATACAGCATAGAACCAGCAAAACAAACATCAAACCAGGAAACAAATAAAATGGGTTACTCATAGTCAGGTCGAGGCCAACTGAACAGATGGTCAGACGGTATCCAGCAACATTACTGCCCATATTCAAAACATTTTAAATTTATGCCCATCAAAGTGATGCCCAAGCCCATTCTGAAATTCCAAAATGGCATGGGAGGGAAAGGGGGTATTAAACAAATTGAACTTCATCAGGTTACCAGTCCAACCCCAGCTTCATCCCAGTTAGCATTTTCCCACTAACCAATACAGACCCTCACTGTAATTTTATGACCGCTTTTCTAATTGTCTCTGACAGTCCTCAGCATTCCAGTCAGCATGCAAACACTGTGCCACTTTCTAGGCCTTTCGGTTCCCCCAGGACTTTTTTTTGTCCTCTCCTTGTCTAGTATCTTTTTGTTCTTTATTCTGTCATTTCAACCCTACACACCAAAACAAGACCAAAATACAGCAGTCCCTGCACCAATACAAGAACTGTGACAGCTCCTGAAGTAATATTTTGAGACAAGACATTTGAGAAACCATCTCCCGATCAAGTGTTCTATGCTTTTTTTTCTCATAAAGGTTTTAAAATTCACAACATAGTGATATTATTTTCTGCTTAAACTTTCTGCATAGCAGAGACCTACAAAATTAAAAATTGTGTTTATGTCACACATATTTTACAGGGAATATTATTTTAAAATTCTTTAGAAGACTGTGAACATACTCTAGTGTACCTTCCCACAGGTCAATGCATTCTATGACTTCCTACACTATTTATCTGCACTGGCCTGTTTGAAAGTCCAGTCCTTTTAGCAACTGCCTGATACATATCACTGTCCCCATGACTTCATTTCTGTTTCCAGAAAAGAGCAGCCCACGCTGCCAAATCTTGCAATTGTTTATGAGTGACAGTAGCCTGTTTGTAGCTAGAGCCAGTAACAGCACAACAAGTGCTATTCCTCTTCCAAATTGCAGAAGCGGATGCTTTGCTGCAAACAGGACCCCTGATTAGTGGCTGCTGGGGAAAAAAACCGTGCAGGGAAGCTGCCGAGTTCCCTACAGCTCTCCTCAGAGGACAAAAGATTCTCAAAGACATGAAGGAGAGCAGCAGAAGAGGCTTAGCCACTCTTCTTGTTTGTGGTAAGCAACAGGATATTCTTCTACTCCTCCCTCCGGCATTGCCAGAAGAGAGAACAAGGGAATGAAGAGCCACTACAACAGTTCTCCCCAGCCTGGAAAAAAAAGCTATCCCAGATGCACTTCTGCCCTGAGAAGAGTTGAAGAACTTAAAACAAGAAGCAGCAAAGACTGGAATGGAGGGGAAGAGGTGAGAGGGTGCAGACCAAATACAGCCAATGGACAAAAAAGGCAACAGAAGAGCAGTTAAGAGCTGCCATGGCTGGTACAAAAGTCACCTTCAACAATAAATATGGGAGAGCAGGCAAAGTACACGGCACTAGTCACCGAACAACAGATTGCAGAAATCGAGACAGTAAAACCCCCCCC